TAGAAACATAGCCTCGGGACGATTTGTCAACTATCTTTTGTCAATTTTTGAAATTTTGTTGGAGTATTTTTTCCGTTCAAAATCCGCCTGTAGGGGGACATGTCCGACCTAACGCTAACCCCAGAACGGCTTCAAGAGTACCTCTAGACTGGAGGAGAGAGAACTCCGTGGCACCTCTATTTACTAGTGGCCTCGGCCCATCCCGCCTCTGTGCCTGGGCCGTGGACCAGAGGCCTCTGGGAGGGTGTTCTTGGGGGCCTCTTGGAGGCAAATTGTCGGACTGCTGCTGCTTGGGGATGGGCTCGACATTACAGTTCGGGTTTCCCCTCTTGAGCCCCTCTTGGGCTGTCTCGGGGTCCTCTTGGGCCATCTTGGGGCTCTGGTCGGGGCCTTTTGGGCCGTCCTGGGATGACTTTCGGGGCCCTCTTGGTCCGTCGTGGAGCGTTGAAGACCGAACCGTCGGGCGAGAACGCTAAAATCTTTCAAACACCATCGGGGAATCAATCTGTGCTTGTCTCTTGGGATTCCTTTCGGCTTGCTTACGGCCTGATTCGATTCACCTCGGGTCGGGTTGGCGAGCTTGGGGAGCCAAGAGCCATGGGTGGCCATCAGGAGGGGAGGAGGAGCTTCGACTCAAATAGCGTCCCCTAGGACCACCCCTGAACGACCGGCCCAGAACTTCCCCTCACACACGCCGACAGGGTTGGCAGATTTCATGGTTTCTGGTAGACGCTCGGAGATCAGGGGTGGGGAGCGTTCTGGCTTGTGTGGGCCTGGTCGGTCGTGCGTCGATCGCCTCTTCTGCGTGCTCGACCACTCACGTCCGAAGTTTCGATGCAAGCGCGCGACTGGATGTGGCTCCGTGCCAGGTGCGTATTTTCGATGTCGGCCTTTCCAGCCACCGTGCCCGGGTCGTGGACGTGATCCGAGCATTCTCTTTGGGTGGAGGGCAAAGGGTGAAACCTGAAATGCCGTTTCGATTGGTTTTCGATGCTTGAATCTGCAGAAGGTGAGTCACAAGACGGATTGAGTTTTCGAGGTGCAAGAGCCCACATGGATTTCACCCTGAGCCCTCCACCCTGAGATGATGCTCAGGTGATGCCTCTTGCATGCCTCTTGGGATCTCTCGGGGGCCTCTCGAGGCCCTTCGAGGCCCTCGCAGGGTCCTCTTGGCAGCTGCGGCCTCCTGGAAGCCTCTTGGGCGACTCTCCTCTCGGGCAGCCTCTCCTGGGGGCCTGCTGGCGGTCTCGGGTGCCATCTCTGGGGGAGGGGCTTTCGGAGCCCTTCGCGAGATCCCTTTCTCGAGCCCCTCCTCGGGGCCGCTTCTGGGGCCTCGCGGGCCCTCCTGGGCGGGTCTTTGGGGGCCTTTTCGGTCGTCCTGGGCGCTCTCAAGCCCGAGGCTGCGAGTACGCGGAACGTCCTTGACAAACTTGCTGCCCTTGAATACGCTATGTTGGCCTTCAGGCTGGCGGAGAGGGCCTCCACTGCACGGATGGGATCAGCGTTGTCTTCGTCGTCGGCATCCTTGTCGTTGGCGTCACCGTCAGTCGTCGGTCGCCGTCGTCGCCGTCGTCGCCGTCGCCGCCGCCGAAGTCCTGCGTCAGGCGCCTGCGCAGGGCCACGCGTCGGCGCCGGCGGCGGACACCTGCGAGTGCCGCCTCCTCGGCGGGGAGGATGAACATGAGGAGGGGGAGGGGGATGGGGGATGGGGGAGGGGGAGGAGGAGGGGGAGGAGGGGGAGGAGGAGGAGGAAGAGGAGGAAGAGGAAGAGGAGGAGCACAGCGTCGTCTCAGATGCCTCTTCAGGACCAGCGTCGAGGTTTTCGCAGATGGTGTTGGGGCGACGATGAGCCTTGGGATGCCGCTGGGGACCCTCTGGCTGCTGCCGGATTCTCTCTCTCCCTCTTTTTTTTTGTTTTCTTTCTCTCTCTCTCTCTCTCACTTTCTTCTCTTCTCCGTACCTGTGAATCTCCTACTGTTCTGAGAAGAAGGACCAGCTCTTAAGACGCACGTGTGCGGCGCGAGGGCGAGTGCCACACTTTGAGAGCCACTCGAGCTCCAGGATCAGGCCGTCATGTCTGTAGCCCCTAGGAGGTTGGGAAGTCTCACTCGAAGCGCCCGGGCCGCCCTACAGACTTCGTCTGGTGGGCCGAGGAGGAGGAGGAGCAGGAGGAGGAGGAGGAGGCAGGAGGAGGAGGAGGCAGGAGGAGGAGGAGGAGGAGGAGGAGGCAGGAGGAGGAGGAGGAGGACTTCTGTTCGCAATCGACTTTGGCGACACGGCTTCAGCTTGTCTGGACATGGTAGAGCATGATGACTGCACGGTGTTCGAGAGGGCGGCCACTGACTGCTGCACGGCAGCGATGGCGGCGAGCATGGTGGATTTCGTCGACGTAAACTCGAAGCTCGACATCGGAACCATGGGCATCTCCACCAGGAGTGAGTTGATTGCCAGGAGGAGTAGGATGACCGTGGAGGTGACCAGGAGGACCGGCCGTGCGACTGCGGTGCCGCGTTGAACATTTGCCCGCTTTGGCGAGATTATGATGATGTTCTGTCTGATGCCTCTGCCCTCAACCTGCCCCTCCCGCTCATGGCTCGTGGGCACATCAGTCCTCCTTTCTGGCGCGGGAGATTCTGCGCGAGGCGGAGCTGGTCTTTTCGCTCGTCCCTTCGTTGGCCCCTGCGGGGCGATTGGCCGGCCACAAGCTGGTCACGAGGCCTGGGGTGATCGCACAGCCCGTCTGCAGAAGTCTATCGCCGCTGTCCTTTGATCCCGTCTTTTCCCCGACACTCTGGCCCAGACACTCGCCGCTTGACTTACGAAATGGTTCCCCCGCAAACGAGCTGACATAGATTGTATCCAGCAGGAAACGGTCTGATCGCAACTTCTGAAGCTGCCCGCGTCTCAAAGATGCGCGGCTCTCGAGACGTTGGCTGGAGGATGGACGTCGGCCGATGTAAAACAAAAATGGTCAGTGTGTCCTGGGGTACCCCAGGGGTAAGGATGCGACCTCCCACTCTACTTAGCATCCCCGAGGTCTGCAGATCTCGTCTCCTCCTCCTCTCGCTCCTGCTGCGCTGCCTGCGTGCCCTCCCGCCCGCCTCGGCCCTCCCGACCCGTCCGCCCCCGCCGCCCTTCCCCCTCTCGCCGCGTCCGCCCTCGTCTGCCGCCGTCCTGCCGCTCTCCCTGCACCTGGCAGCCCAACCAGCCGCAAGAGAGCCGCTGCCTTAACTCGAAAATCGCACGGCGGACGGCGGCGTTTTCTTTCGGCAGGGGTCTCGGAGGAGCTCGTGCCCGCCGTCGGGCACGTGCCAGGAGGAGGAGGAGGAGGAGGAGGAGGAGGAGGAGGGGGAGGAGGAGGAGGAGGAGGCATTTACACGAGATAAACAATGGTGTAGCAGGGAGAGGGTGAGGAGGAGTACGAGGGACATGAAGTGTCGGGGGCCGGGAGGGGGAGATCGAGGTCAGCGGTTTACGGAAACCCCCTCTTCCCCCGGATTGCGTCTCCTGGAGCGTGCTCATCGCCGCGCCTGCTCGGGGTTCGGTCTCCTCGTGTTTCGTGCTCTTTGGCTTCCACTGGTCCGTTGTCTTGCGTGCGTGCGGCATCGCGGCAAGCGCTGCGCTGTTTTTGTTTCTGCTTGCGTGTGGATCTCGCACGCGGTTGTGTTCAGGGTGTGGTTGCAGTTGGGAGGCCTCGCGCGCATGGTGGTCCTGGTTTTGGGTTGGAGGGGGTTTGCAGTCTGACATTGTTTGTGCTGTCGCGTTAGTACTTGTGCTCCTTGGCATGGCGATGGCGCCACCCGCTTTTTGTCTGGAATAGCGTGGCGGGCAGATTTGCTTTCGGGTGGATGTGGAGGCTGGGTCGTATAGAGTTCGCGGGGGCGAATTCGGAGAATCGTGGGTTCAGGGAGGTCTTTCACTGGCGGGTTATTTCCACCCTTGCCGCTTCATTGATGTATCAGTTGCTTGGGGTTCGGTTGCATTTTGTTTTGTGTTCGCCAGCCTCAATGTGTCCGCTGTATTGAATTTGTGCGCTTGCGCAGCAACCGCTGCGCAGGTGTGTAGATCTCGCATGCGGTTGTATTGGATGTGTGGTTGCAGCTGGGAGGCTTCGGTGTCGCGCAATGTGCGCGCGTGTGTGTGTGTGAGAGAGTGTGTGTGTGTGTGTGTGTGTGGTTGACACTGTTTTTGTTGTCGCGTTGGTGCCTGCGCTCCCTCGCATGGCGACGGCGCCGGATAGGAAGGTGTTGGGGCTTGTATCGGGGGGAGACCTCCGGAGACCGATCGAGGCACAATCGTCAACGCCGTCGTCGTCGTCGCCGCCGCCGCCGCCGCCGTCGCCGTCGCCGTCGTCGTCGTCGTCGTCGTCGTCGTCGTCGTCGTCGCCGTCGTCGCCGTCGTCGCCGTCGTCGTCGTCGTCGTCGTCGCCGTCGTCGCCGTCGCCGTCGTCGCCGTCGTCGCCGTCGTCGCCGTCCTCGTCGTCGTCGTCGTCGCCGTCGTCGTCGTCGCCGTCGTCGTCGCCGTCGTCCGTCGGAGCTGCTGAGCGCTCTCGGCGGCCGAGGCCGGCGCGGGGGCTCGGTCGGCACGGCCTGCGGCACGGTGCGCGTCTCGGCGAGGCTCCGCGCCGCCTGCTGGGGGCGGGGGTTCGATGTCTGTTCATGGGAGCCTTGGGCGGCGACATTGAAATCAGCTTTTCCTGTGTGTGGACAGCGTGGGGGCCACATTTGGCCCATCTTCCTGCTCCTCCTCTCCCCTCCTGTTCCCTCTCCGCCTCCTCGTTCTCCTAGCCCTCACGAATCCAGTCCAAGTCTGGTCCAAATCCGGTCCAAATGTGTTCCAAATCCGGTCCAAATCAGGCCCAAATTGGACAGTGCCGGGAGCCACGCAGGTTCCCATGGACCGGACACCGAACGGGGGGGCTGGGAGGAGCTAAAACGACGCGAAGATCGGGACAAACTCGGATCGGGACACCTCGAAAACTCTGAGAGTCGGCGGGTTTGGAGGGTGTATTGGGCGCCGCGGCCGCTCCAGAGCGTCCCGGAACGCTCCGAGAGCGCTCCGGAACGCTCTGGAGCGATTTGTCCCGATCCTAGCCCTGTTTTAGGGGGGGCTGGGAGGAGCGGGGGGGGGGCTCTGATCTCCGCTCCGAGGGCGGGCTGAGAGAACGTCGGGGGCAACGACGTGGGGGGACACGCTCGAGGTCGTTTTCGATTCGGGGTTCCAGGTCTTCGGCTGCTTTCGTCCGTTCGCGGGGGCTTTCCGGCCTCGGGGTGCGCTCCAGCAGCTGCGCCTGCGCCTCGTCGAGGGCGCTCTCCGGGGGTGCCGGGAGTCGTGCCACACGGCCGCCTCCCTCGCGCCCCCCAAAGCTGCGCACCAAAGGTCACTCTTACCCAGGGTCACTCTTACGCCTAGCCGAGAAAGGACGGCGTCCGAAATCCAGCTCAATCTGGCTAAATCGTAAGTCGGGCGTGTTCCTCTACAGGGGGAACCTTCCAAAGTGAGCCTTCCCCTGCAGGAGCAAGCGACGCCGGAGGATCGGTCACTTTCGTCGCTGGAGTTCACTTGGCCTCAGACATCCTCCAATTTTTTACCCCCAGCCGCTTTTTTAGAGATTTGACCTGCAGGGGTCAGGGGTCACGTGTGGTTACGCAGTAGTGCCATGGGGCATCGTGCGGTGCGGTGCCGCGTCGCGCTGCGTCTCTGCGAGCCTTGGTGTGGAGCGGTAGTGGTGTTGTGCATTGTCAACGCCTTCTTGTACAGACAGCCCGCATAGTAAGGATGGGCAGCATTCCCAAGGGTACCCTCGCATCCTTGCATCCTCGGTCCATCCTTGGTCACTTGCGTTGGCCACGCCCCACTCGAGAAGCTTCGAAACGGCCCTCCGAGGCCCTTGCATTCTCATCGTGCGTCCGTATGACTCCTTGTGATGCGGGTCTACTCTATGATTCATTATTGCGAGGGTCCCTCTGCAGCATGTAGCGTGAGGTGTTTGTTAGGAGCCTCCTCGGCCCCCACTGGTGTCCGTCGGATTTGCTGTGCTCCCGGTCTACAGGGCGCATGGTCCACAAGCAGGTGTCACGAGTGCAAGCCTCGGAGGCAGAATTATTCAGTTTCGCCTTTTTGCTCGAGCGACTAATGAAACCGCAGGTGGTGTCAGCTTCGGCCGCGGCAATGTATCAAAAACTTGGTGACCCCGTCAGCGGAGTGGTTAGTCGCGCATTATGCGCCGTTCCTTTATTTTTGCATGTTGGTATCCGTGGGGGCGCTGCGATTCTTCCAGCCCATCGGCTCTCCAGCGTTCGCTTTCGCAGTACGTGCTTCGTTTCGAAGGGGGCCCCCTTGTGCAGCAGGCCTGGCCAGCCTGGCAGACGCGGTCAGCATGCGCAAGCCATTTTGAGACGCAGCGTCGCAGTTGGCAGTGATCATGCCTGCGTCTTTGTGTCGCAGAGAAATCATCCCGGTGATGATAAGGAGCTTCAGCGCTTGGCCTCTGTGGACGAAAGTTTCAGCACTCGGGTCGTGACTACAGCCTCCAAAGTGCATCGTCGCTTGGTGCTCTCGCCGACTGGGCGGCTGGTTGACGACACAGACGATGTGCGCAAGGTTGGCGCTGCAGCTGCAGTGGGCGCACTTGCAGCTTTCGCCATGGGCGCTTCGCGCCTCACGCTGAGACTGGACAGGGCCATTCCAAGGACAAAACACCCTGTCGATGGCAAGGCCTTCGCTCACGCCGGCCTCGTGGCAGGGCTGGCTGTGCACCAGGCGGCCTACGCGCCGCTGCAGGCGCGAGAGGAGCGCCCAGCAGTCGGCACGCGCCTGGAGCAGCTGCAGGTGGACGGCCTCGAGGACTCGAGCACGCTGGGCCGGACCTTGGAGGCCATCGAGGCCGGGCGCACGCTGGCCCGAGACATCGCCTCGGGGGACCCCGAGCGCATGGCTCCGCCGCGGCTGGCGGCCTTTGTGCTGGAGGCCTGTGGGGCGCAGGGCATCGACGTGCAGGTCCTCGAGAACCAGGAGATCCTCGACGCCGAGTACCCGTTGCTGATGGCCGTGGCCCGGGCGTCGGCACGGGTGCAGCGCCACCGGCCCAGAGTGGTGCGGCTCTCCTGGGCCGGCAAGGGGCGCGTGCGGCGCACGATCTGCATCGCTGGTAAGGGGGTCACCTACGACACCGGAGGCGCGGACGTCAAGGTGGGGGGCTCGATGGCTGGCATGCGTGGGGACAAGGGTGGAGCAGCTGCCGCGGCAGGCTTCATTCTCGCGTGCGCTCGCGCTCCAGAGAGGCAAACTCGCGGGCTCCGCGTCGTGGTGGAGCTGGGGTGTGTGCGCAACTCGATCGGGTCGGACGCCTTCGTGGCGGACGAGGTCCTCGTGGGCCACGCGGGGAAGCGCGTCCTCGTGGGGAACACCGACGCCGAGGGGCGCCTCGTGCTGGCCGACGTCCTGTCGCACCTCCGAGAGAGGGTGCTCGCCGACCCCGCCGGCCACCCGGACCCGGTCTTCCTCTCCCTCGCGACGCTCACGGGGCACGCCATTCGCGCCTTCGGCGCCTTCGCCGCGGCGACCGACAACGGCGCGGCCCGGGCCGCGGGCGGCGTCGCCGCCCGCCTCGCCGCGGCGGGGGCCCTGCTGGGACAGCCGGTGGAGGTGTCCTCTCTCCGCCGGGAGGACTACGAGTTCATCGAGCCCGGCTCGCCAATCTCCTGGAGAGCCCGGGAATCGGCGGCCAGCGACCTGCTCGGGTTGACCCCAAAAGGGGGTCCAGCGACAAGGGGGTGGTGCAACAGATTTGGTGCAACAGATCTGTGGGGTTGCAATACATTTGGGGCGTGCAATACATTCCGGGGCGCAAGTGTGTTGCTGGATGTTCGCGCGCAGTGCATTAGTTGCAGTACAATGCCATTCTCCAGCGCAGTACGTTTGCAATACACTTGCCCCAAATCTATCCCTTGCAGCTGGACCCCCTCTTGGGTCGCCCAGGCCCGTGCACACGTGCGCAGTCCGCTCCCGCCGGCCCCGCGTTGGAGCGCGAGGCTTCGTGCACGCGGGATATCGCCGAGGGCGCGCGTGCCCACGTGTCGCTGCTCGCCCGCCAGGGAGGGCGGCACGCACTGCGGGGCGTCCGTGCGGACGCGTCTCGCCGTCGGCGCCGGGACCTCCCCTCCCTCGCCGGCACGCCTCCGCTCCCCGTCGCAGGCGCGTGCGGCCACGCGCAGAGGGGGGTCTTCTGGGGGGAGGGGGGGGGACCCGCCGAGCGCGTTGCACTCTTCGCAAAGTGCCTGCTCGCAAACGTCAGAAAAAGAACTGTACGTCTGCCCATGTGCAATGCATCTATAGATCCCCCGCGGCGGATCCGGGGCACTTGCGAGAGCAGTCCCTTCGCGAGCAGTGGAACGCGCTCGTCCAGGGACTGGCCCCGTGGACGCGCCCTGCTTCCAAGAGGCCTCCCCTGCCCCCCCTCCCCCCTATCCCCCCCCCCCTGCCCGCGCCCGCCGGCGCGCGGAGCGCGCGCGCGGCGGCGCCCATGGGCTGTGCAATGGGGGGGGGGGTCTCCGGCGCCGAGGCCGGAGCTCCGCGCGGAGCTCCGCACGTGTGCAGCCAAGTCGCTGAAGCGAGGAAGCGTTTGGGCAGGAGAGGGGCTCGATGTTCCTGAGGTCCTTCTGTGGCTGTTCCCCTGGTCTTCCCCGTGCACGCAGGCGCTCGTGGGGCCAAGAAGGGGTTTCGTTCCCTGTTTGTCGTTCCTTCTTTTTCAGCAGCCCGACTGTATGCTCATGCCGTTTCGTGGCTCTCTGGGCAATCACGCCCGTTTCCCGGTGCGGGGATACGTACGACGTGGTGCAGTGCAACAACGCAGCTTCGGTGGCCACAGTGCGGGGGCACCAGTTTCCGATGGCTTTCCTCGACGTCGCCTCTGGCCTCAGAGAACATGCTGCTGGGTCCGCGGTGCCGATACCTTACTGCCACATAGATCTGGCGAACTCAGTGATGGACTCACGCGGCATCGAGACTGGCTCACCCATCGTCCCTCTCTTCGGCCATTTTCTTTTGAAGCTAGGCGGTCAGCAGTGATTGGATGTTATTCTTCCTTGCTAGAAGCGGTAAGGTTCAGATCTGATCACGCTTGGCCCCCTCCGCCGCGCTGGGCTGCGAGGATGCAGAGACGCGTGGGTGTGTGCAGATGCATCTGAGCATTCTAAAAAACGTTCAATCATTCTCTGGCCACGCGCGAGGTTTCGATTAGAAAGGCCTCACGGCCGGTCCCGCCGACCCTGAGACGAGCACAGCCTGGGCGCAAGAGGCGGCAAGGGGGACGGGGACACCGGGACCGGGGGGCAGTGGCGTCGCAACATCCAGTGGCCTTCGGCCCATGCGGCTACTGGGCCTGGGTCACGCAAAATCCTCGGGGACATCGTTTTGACTCTCGTTCTTTCTCCAGAGTTCCTTACTGCCTGTGTGCGCTACTTGGATGCCCGCTGGGACCCCAACGCAGAAGCCGCCTCAGTCCCCGCCAGCGGGGCTGGCCGCGCCAGTTCACCCAGGGAGTGATCCGTCCCCCCTGAGTGGCCCCCGCTTTCCCCCCTCCTGCGGCCGCCCGCTCCGTCCCTCCTCCTCCTCCTCCTCCTCCTCCTCCTCCTCCTCCTCCTCCTCCTCCTCCTCCTCCTCCTCCTCCTCTTGCATGGCGGCCAATTCGCTACAGCCGTGCCCCCGTTTAGTTTGCTTCTTCCGCCAGCGCAGACGGCCCCTGCCTAGCCGCCGACGCAACAACTGCGCGCGCCACTTGGATGCGTCTCGAGGCTTCGCGCTGGAATGGCTGGCTTCCAGCGGCGCGGCCGCGGGTCTCCGCGGCGTGTCCAGCGGCGCGGCCGCGGGTCTCCGCGGCGTGGTGGTGGCGCGCTTCTTGGGCCCCTCTTTTGGCTCCGCCTTGCGCGGCCTCGTGGGCTCCTCCTCGGGGCCTGCGGGGCAATCGTTGGGCCGCTCCTGGCTTGGGGCACCTGGGGCCACCGTGGACGCCCTTGGGGCCGAAGCGGCGGCAGCGCGATCATGGCGCAAACGCCTGAGGGGTTCTGCCGCGTCGGACGGCTGGGGCCGGCCCCCGGGGCCTCCGCCCTGGCCCCGGGCACCCCCCCCCGGAGCACCAAAGTCATCCAATGCCGGTCCCGACGTGGCTCCAGCGGGCCATTGGCGGCGCCTCGGTTTCCTCAACCATCCTCTGCTGTTTTGGGCTCTCGTTTTGGTTCCGCAGCGCCCCGCTCCACCTCGCCTTCCTCCTCCCATCCTCCCCCTCCTCCTCCTCTTCCTCCTACTCCTCCTTTTTCTCCTCCTCCTCTTCCTTTCATCCTCCCGTTGCTTCTGCCATCCCCCGCATGTCCTCGTCGTAACCATCGCCACCACTCGTGGCCGCGTCCGCGTGCGCCCCCCTCCCGCAGCTTTCGGCACGTCCCCCTCGCGCGCTCCGTGGCCCCTCCTGGAACTCCGCCCGAAGCACCAGCGGTTGCGTTCGCACTTGCCCTGCGGTTCATGCCGATGTAGTCCTCGCGCGCTTCGTGGCGCCACGTGGAGCTCCAGTGGCTGCGGCCGCATACGCCCCCAGTGTACATGTCGGACCACCCTCACTTGCTTCCTGGCCCCCATAAAAGGGGGCTCTACCGACGGCCCTAGTGGCTGCGCTCCCGTGCGCCTCCAGCCCATGTCGGCAGACCCGTCTGCCCCTTGGGGAGCTGCTCAGTTGGCCCCAGTGGCTGCGGTCGCATGCGCCCCAGCCCTTGTCGGGACACCACGTATACGTTTCGCAGCCTCACATGGAGCGCCATCGGAGGCCCCACTCGCTGCGTTCGCATGCGTCCCACGCCTTTTTTCGAAACACCATTCACACGGTTGTGGTCGCATACGGTGTTCCCGTTCATTCGTCCCACTTGCTTTGCGGCATTCACGTTTGCATCTGGTTGGGCCGTTCGCCAGGATACTTTTCCAAGCAATCTTGTGGTGGAAGGTCATTTTTGAATCCGCAGCGCACCGCATCTTTTTTCCCCCTCCTCTTCTTCTCAGTCCTCCCATCCCTGCCTCTGCCTTCCGCATGCCCTGATCACCATCGTCAGTTCACATTAGTGCCTCTGCCCCCCTCCGCAAGCCAATTTCGGGACACCCCTCACACGTTTCGTGGCCCCCTTTTTTATGGAGATCCACCGGAAGCCTCAATGGCGACATTCGTATGAGGTTCCCCGCTCATGTCGATGTACCCTCACGCGTTTTGCGGCCCCATAGGGAGGTCCAGTTAAGACCCCAGTGGCGACCTTCGCATGCGGTTCCCCGCCCATTTCGGCACACCATCACACGATTCGCGGCCCCTGTTCGGGAGCCCAACCGAAGGCCGCCCTGCTAGGTTCACATGCGTCCCCTCTATTTGAGTGCACTGCTCACACGCTTCGTGGCGCCATGGCAGCTCCACTTGAGGCCCCAGTGGCACGGTTTGCACCCCACGTTGGTGAGTGTGGAGGGCGCTTGGTGGCTGCGGAGAAGGAGGGGGAGAGCTCCCGTTGGCGGGCCGTGGCCATCGGGACAGGAGGACCTCGAATGAGGACCCCCGCGGACACTCTTTTCATGCTCGATTCTCGTGTCGACAGATTTTATGTGTCATGCTGTGGGTTAGCCCAGTTTTCCTGGAATTCGTGTCAGCCAGCGTCATCTGTGCAGCACGAGGTGCAATGTTTCATCATACGACGACCCTCTGAATGTAGGTTGCAGGCTGCAGGGGGTTGTACCTCGCAGTCCCTGATATGCTATCCATGTTGTACATGGTAGTCCGTGTCGCATCCCTTCTCTAGTTGGTCCCTCGTTTCTTTCTGCGCCATTCCGCCGAGCCGAGTCCCGAGAGGTACACGGGGCGAGTGTAAAGCGCGGGGGTGGGGGGACGCAGAGCGATGTGATGCTCAGAAGGGGGCTCGATGTGGAGCCCGATGATCTCCACGCCGGCGTCGCCTACACATCGCCGACTTCGCCGACGGATCGTCGATGCATCAGCGATGTGGCGTAATTCTTTACGCTTCGCGTATCCCCACCAGCCCACTTCACAACAGCAACTCTTGCGAAGCATGCCGACAGTTGTGTTTTTCAGGCGTGTGTCCGCTTTGCCCCGCATATCTCCCCTGTTCCTCCTTCCTCCCGCCTCCTTGTACATCCTCCTTGTGGGGGCAGCGCGAGAAGGACGAGGCGGAGGAGGAGGGAGAGAAAACGCTCCTCGTGGTTTGAGTCGTTTGGGGTGTCTCGTCCTGGTGTGAGTCGTTCGGGCCCTTCTTCCTGGTGTGAGTCGTTCGGGCTCTTCGTGGTGTGAGTCGTTCGGGCTCTTCGTCCTGGTGTGAGTCGTTCGGGCTTCTCGTGGTGTGAGTTGTTCGGGCCCCTCGTCCTGGTGTGAGTCGTTCGGGCCCCCCTCCTGGTGTGACTCGTTCGGGCTCCTCGTGGTGTGAGGTTCGGGGCCCTCGTCGTGGTGTGAGTCGTTCGGGCTCCTCGTGGTGTGAGTCGTTCGGGCGCCTCGTCCTGGTGTGAGTCGTTCGGGCCCCTCCTTCTGGTGTGAGTCGTTCGGGCTCTTCGTGGTGTGAGTCGTTCGGGCCCCTCGTCCTGGGGGGCCTCTTGGGGGCCTCTTGGGGGCCTCTTGGGGCCTCTTGGGGCCTCTTGGGGGCCTCTTGGGTGCCTCTTGGGGGACTCTTGGGGCCTCTTGGGGGCCCTCTGAAGCGCAAAGGAGCGCTGGCCCCTGAGAAGGAGAAAATGAGCCCAAAACCTTTGTAAAATCATTGATTTTGCTATGAAGGAAGAGGAACGCGGCCCCCTCAGAAGGCCAGGGGCCAAAACCGTAGTAAAATCAATGTTTTTTACTTCAACGACGAGTTCAGGCGCCAAACTCCCTCCCCCCCCTCGGGGCCAGAATCCTCGTGAGGGTCGTCGTTTTTTAGCCCTCCCAGGAGTCGAAAAAGACTCCCCTGACGACCCGCGGCCCGCCCTCTCCAGGCCCAGGGGGAGGGGGTAGGGGGAGAGGTAAACCCCTCCCCGAAGGGGAAGAAGGGGGGGTGAGGACAGAGAGAGCTCCCTAAACCACTCACGCCCAAAGGGCTGGTGGGATTTTCCGATCCCATCTTTTCGGACCATATTTGGATGGATTGGGATAACATGCGCAACCTGATAGCCTCACTCTTTGTTGCTTGCCTCAGGTCCCACACATGTCGTCTTCGTTGTTCTTTTCATATCCTTTCCATGCTTGCCCAATCCTATCCCTCGGCAAGGTTGTCAGGAGCCTCCGCGATATCCAGCGAGCACCTGGTGTACTCGCTGCAGGACCACGTTGAAGCGAAGGTGGGTGCCCTGGCCCCCCTTCCTCCGCCTCCTCCTTCTCCACCTCCTCTTCCTCCTCGTCCTCCTCCTCCTTCTCCTCCTCCTCCTCCGCTTGGCCGTCCTCACCGTTCCTGTCACCTTGCCGCCCAATTCCTTGGGGCGACCCCCGGATGCAGGCCCACCGTACCAGATGTCATGCGCGATCGCCAGGCTCGGTGGTATTCGCTGACGCTCAGTTCAAGGACGCCGTTGCATCAGACTCGACGATGCCCAGCGCATGGCCCGATGCTCTGCAGATGGTGCTCATGGTGATCCGCATCGAGGCGAATCGAGGCCTCACCGTTGCCCCGCAAGCGGTCTCCGGGGTGCAGAGGCCCTCGGGCGCCTGCAGAGGCTCCACGGCGTCCAGGAGGCCACGGAGCGCACGGAAACCTCGGTCTTCCTCCCGCATCTGCTCTCCCTCCTCCGGCCCAGCATCCAGGGGATGCCAGAACTCCGCAGAAATCCGCTCCGAGCCCTCCTGCTCCTCCTCCTCCTCCTCCTCCTCCTCCTCCTCCTCCTCCTCCTCCTCCTCTTCCCCCTCCCCTCCTCCCTCCTCCCTCCTCCTCCTCCTCCTCCTCCCTCCTCCTCCTCCTCTCCTCCTCCTCCTCCTCCTCCTCCTGCCCTCTGGGCACCCCCCCCTTGTTGCCTGCCGCCTGGCCATGTCGAGGCCCACGGAACTTCCGCTTCCTCGTGCTCCGGGGCCGTGTCTGGTCGTCCTCGTCCTCCCTCCTCCTCCTCCTCCTCCTCCTCCTCCTCCTCCTCCTACCCCTCCTCTTCTCCTCCTTCCCTCCTTCCTCCTCCTCCTCCTCCTCCTCCTCCTCCTCCTCCTCCTCTGGTCGTCCTCGTCTCCTCCTCCTCCTCCTCCTCCTCCTCCTCCTCCTCCTCCCGGTCGTGCTCGTCCCTCTCTCATCAGTTCTTCCTTTCCTCCTCGGTCCGGGGCGGCTCTGGACGTTTGGCCTTCCCTGCAGCCCCAGACGCCTCCAGGAGCCGCCTGGGGCCCCTGCAGGCCCCCAGGGACCTGGAGGCACGCCGAGACCTCCCGAGACCTCTGCAGATGTGCAGCCGAGACGGATGAGCAGAGGGCGACCCTGCCACCTCCTCCTCCTCCTCCCCCTCCTCCTCCTCCTCCTCCACTCCTCCTTCCTCCTCCTCCTCCTCCTCCTCTCCTCCTCCTCCTCCTCCTCCTCCTCCTCCTCCTCCTCCTCCTCCTCCTCCTCCTCCATGTCCTCCTCCTCCTTCCTCCTCCATTTCCTCCTCCTCCTCCGAGGGTACCCTTATGTGTCCTGAGCTTCGCGACCCGTGGCTTCCTGCACTCCTGTGGCGGCCCTGGCCCTCGGAAGTGTCTCTCGTGTCCTCTCGCGTGCCCTCGCCAGTCAGCCCCGACTTGTAGTCCCTGCCAGAGAACGAGGGCAAAACGTCGGGATCAGGCGGTGCCGAAAGCGAAGTGCATGCGAAGGAACGTCTTGAAGAGGAACCCGGACCAGGAGCCGAAAAGTTGGTGGTGCCGACAGCGGCGTATCATGTACACCAGCCCCATAAACTGCGGGAGAGGACGCGCCACGCATCCAGGGCGACGGATGGGCCCTCCCTCCCCCCCTCCATCGAAGGAGAGCGCGGAGCCCGACCCTGGAGCTTTCGGGCAGGGCCCCGTGGGGCCTCACGGCCCTGCGGGCCAGGGCCGGGGCTGCCCCGTGCAGAGGTGCAGCGGGCTGGCCCGGGCTGCGCAGGGCGGTGGTCTCGGCACCGCCGGTTTTCGGGGTGCCGCACCGCAGGCTGGCCCGGGCGGCAGGCTGGCCAGGGCTGCCTCGTGCGGGGTGCCGCAGGCTGGCCCGGGCTGCCTCGTGCGGGGTGCCGCAGGCTGGCCAGGGCTGCCTCGTGCGGGGTGCCGCAGGCTGGCCCTGGACTGTAAGGCGGAGGTCTTTGCGCCGCCGTGTCTCGGGGTTGGACAGACCTCCTACCCTGACACGTCGATTGAGGAGTTGGCCGTGTTCGGTTCGCGAGAGGGCGTCGCGGTCGTCATCTTTGCGGGTCCAGGTCCGTCGGTTTCGGTCCCAGGCCGTTTCCACTGAGGGGAGGTTTACTAAAGGGAGGTTTGTCCACCGCCGACGTTTCTCAGGATCCTCTCCGACACGCTCTGGAGCTGGTTGTCTGGCAGACCCTGCTCCCTGGTCATTGCAGTCTTGGATTCCAGGAGCTCGAGCCGACTCGACTCCCTTCTTCTCCTCGTCGTCGTCCTCCTCCTGAACTCGCCGGATTCGTGGCGCGCCATGTGCAGAATCCAGAATCCTTTTTCTCGTCTCCCCTCTCTCCTCTTTCTCCTCCTATTCTTCCTCCCTCCTCTCTCTTCCTTCTCTCTCCTCCCTCTCCCTCCTCCTCCTCCTCCTCCTCCTCCGCCTCCTCCTCCTCCTCCTCCTCCTCCTCCTCCCTCCTCCCCCATTTCCTCCTCCCCCTCCCGCCCGTGCCCCGAAAAGGCTCAGGTCTCCGCCAACCAGGCCAGCTGGCGGCTCGACGGACCCTGCGCGCCCCGTCTCCTCGCACTGACTCCTCCCACCCCCCTCGAGGGAGGAGGGGGAGGAGAAGGAGGAGGAGGAGGAGAAGGAGGAAGAGGAGGAGGAGAAGGAGAGGGAGGAGGAGGAGGAGGCGGAGGAGGAGCAGGCGGAGGCGGAGGCGGAGGAGGAGGAGGAGGAGCAGGAGGAGGAGGAGGAGGAGGAGGAGGAGGGGGAGGAGGAAGAGGAGGAGGAGGAGGAGGGGGGAACCAGTGAATACCCAAGACGCGTGAACGATGTTGCAATCACCACTCCCTCCGAGCTCCCTCCGGGATTATTCTGGGCAGTGCCATTAGGAAGACGACCGTTTGAGATTATTCAGTTGGGCCAAATCACAGTTCCTGTGACTTCAGCGCCACTGATCAACATAATGTCTGCGTCCTGATAATTCAGATAGGTGCCCGGACACCATTTCTCGGACTTCAACAGCGAATACATGTAATCGTCGCTGTCTGACAGTCATGAATTGTTCTTCAACCATTCGAACTTGCAGCGGCTGCAAACTTTCAAGACGAATCCGCGCGGCGCTAAGGCGAGAACCGTACTTTGGCAAAGAACCGTCCGCCATCCGTACACGCCAGTCGTTCACAGTAGGTAGTTCTGGAGTTCCAGATCCCAATCTACCTCAAGCGCCTTCCTATTTCAAGACTCGGCATGCTTTTGCTGTGTTTTGTTCTTCTCTGGGAGGGCCAGGGCCCAATCCACTATATCCGCCTTCCTACTTCATGGTTCTATCTACTTCTTCCGACCGACGTGTAAATCAGAGCGTGAATTACCTACCCCGCTTTCGCTTCCAGGCAAAACCAAGCCATACCACGCGCCTCCTCGTTCAGCGGCCTCACCAGTACAGGCTGCAATCTGGCATCGTTTGGTATCTCTCGGAAGCGAGGGTGGTCAAAAGCGAGGCAGGTTTGTTTTCCCCCTAGTCAACGTGTTGCGTTTTTTTGCGCGACGACTGCGCGGCGCTGCGCCGAGAGCCACGCTCTGAGCATCGCCCGACCTCCATCCTCGGAGCTGCTGCAGACGTTAGGTTCACGCGCGCGCGGCGCGCAGGCGAGCGCCGCACGGTGCAAGCGGCCCGCCCTCGGGCCGTGAAGCTCTTGCAGTTCTCAGGCTGCAGGATCAAAGCTGGTGAGGAGGTCGCAGGCGAAACGCCCCACCCGCACTGTGTGACACGTCTGAGGGTGCGGCAGGCACGAGCCATAGCTACGGACATAGGACGGATGGATGGTGGTGATGGTGGTGATGATGAGGAGGAGGAGGAGGAGGGGGGGGAGGAGGAGGAGGAGGAGGAGGAGGAGGAGGAGGAGGGGAGGAGGATGAGGGAGGAAGAGGGAGGAGGGAGGAGGGAGGAGGAACATTAGGAGGGAGGAGGGAGGAGGGAGGAGGGAGGAGAAGGGAGGAGCAGAGAGAGGGAGGATGTATCAGGAAAGGAGAGGGAACAGGGTGAGAAAGGAGGAAGGAGGAGGAGGAGGAGGTGGAGGCGGAGGAGGAGGAGGACGCAGGAACGATCTGGACTGTTTCGGCCGTGAGCTGGAGGCCGTGCCACACCCAACGACGCACGCGCACCAGGGGAACAACCGGGAGTTGGAGGACGGGGAGGAAGAAGAGGAGGAAGAGCAGGAGGTCGAGGAGGAGGGAGGAGGGACGAACAGGAGGATGAGCGTGAGGAGAAGGAGGAGGAGGAGGAGGAGGAGGAGGAGGAGGAGGAGGAGGGGGCCACCACGTGTGAACCTTGTCGTGCATTTTGTGTGTTTCTAGGGCCTTCGGAAGTAGTGGGAGGAGGAGGAGGAGGGGGAGGAGGGGGAGGAGGAGATGGAAGAGGAGGAGGAGAAGGGCGAAGAGAAAACCTATGCCCAAGATGTACCAGCGTTGTTGCAACACACTCTCCCGCCCCAAGTTCCCCCCTCTTGAGTTTCTACAAGTCTTCCACTCTACTGCGGGACGGCGTCAGTCCAAGGTTTGTTTTTCAGACGACTGTTAGCAGCGCCCCAGTCAGAGCCCTATTTTGAAGATGATCTGCTCTACATTACGGAAGCTGTTATTGGGAATGCCTTGCGGCCAGTGCCGCCGACCCTGGAAGGAGAATTTGCATGTGCGCAACGAGCAGCCGGAGGCACTGACTGTGTACTGCTGAGTAGGAGGAGACGGAGGAGGAGACGGAGGAGGAGACGGAGGAGGAGACGGAGGATGGGAGCAGGATGATGATGATGATGATGATTATTGTGATGATGATGATGATGCTGATGATGCTGCTGATGATGATGCTGATGCTGATGCTGATGATGATGCTGATGCTGATGCTGATGATGATGATGCTGATTATGGTGATGATGATGATGACGATGATGATGATGATGATGATCATGATGATGATGATGATGATGATGATGATGATGAATCTGATGATGATGGTGATGACGATGCTGCTGATGATGACGATGCTGGTGATGATTATGTTGATGATGATGATGCTGATGATGATGGCGCTGATGTTGATGTTGATGATGATGCAGCTGGTGATGCTGATGATGATGATGATGATGCTGATGATGCTGATGATGACGATGATGATGCTGATGATGATGATGATGAGGATGGTGATGGTGATGATGATGCTGATTCATGATGTTGATGCCGATGATGATGCTGATGATGATGATGACGATGACGATGACGATGACGGTGATGATGCTGATGATGATGATGACGATGACGATGATGAGATGATGATGATGATGATGATGATGATGATGATGATGATGATATGATGATGATAGATGATGATGATGATGATGATGATGATGATGATGGTGATGATGATGATGATGATGATGATGATGATGAGATGATGATGATGATTATGATGATGATGATATGATGATGATGATGATGATGATGATGATGATGATGATGAATGATGAATGATGATGATGTGATGTTGATGATGACTGAATGATGATGACGATGATGATGATGATGATGATGATGATGATGATGATGATGATGATGATGATCGGAGGAGGATGAGGAGGAGGATGAGGATGAAGAAGAGGAGGAGAGGGGAGGAGGAGGAGGAGAAGGAGGAGGAAGAGGAGGAGGAGGAGGAGGAGGAGGAGGAGGAGGAGTAGGATGTGGAGGAGGAGGAGGAGGAGGAGGAGGAGGAGGAGGAAGAAAACCAGCGATGGAGCGAGCCAGCCGCGGAGCAGTGCCCGAATCCGCGAGCACTGACCAGCACAAGAGTATGCCTTCCACTACAACCGCGCCTGCGGCGCACGCTTGGAGCCAGCAGACTGGGAAGGGCCTACAGTCAACTTGTATGATAAAGTCACGAGATAAGGATGCAATGGCCTCGGGAGGCCATGTCGACACTCTACGAGCGGGCGCGGCCAGCCCAGCGGAAGTGGCCAAGGATGGGCCGAAAGGAAGAGGATGCAGGGGCACCCTTGGACAAGTCGCTCACCCTTCCTGTGCGGGTCGACTGAACCTGGTATCACCCACTGCACACCAGCCGCGCCAGGAGCGCACACGTCGTGACTGCAGGGCCCAGGCAGGCCACGCAGGCCTTTGGGCCTGGCCCATCTCCTCTGGCAGGCGCGCCGCGCGTCGAGGTGGACGCTGTCGACGGGCTGCGCGGCCACGACCGCGCGTGCGTCCGCCACCGGGTCCGGCGCCGGCGGCGGCGCAGCAGCAGCGGGCGCCACGGCGCACGGCCACATCTGCTGCCGTCCCCCCCGCCTCCTCGTGGGGGGGGCCGCCGAAGCCGCTCTGGCCGCGGCGCTGCGGCCGCGGCCGAGGTCGGAGTCTGGCAGCCGCCGCAGCCGCTGCGGCCTGCCCAGGGCCGGGCCCAGCGCCACACCGTGCCCGCCGCAGCCGTCGGCGCCTGCGGCAGCCTCGCGTCGGGGGAGGGCGTCGCCGCTCGGCCTCGGCGGCCGCCGCGGCGGCTCTCGGCATCCGCGGAGGACGAGCACGCTCAGCGTCGAGCGGCGCCCGCGCAGTCGGCGGTGGCTCGGCACTCCCGGGCGGCGCGAGAGGCGCCGCCGAGACGGCCGACCGCGAAACGGGCGCCGCAGTGCGCTGCGGCGTCCGGGCCGCGATGGTGCCACGCGCCGCAGCCCCTACAGGGGTGATTGCGGCGGCAGGCGCGAGAGCTCTTCTGGGCGGTTTCCCGAGAACGGCGCAGCCGCGCAACTGTTTGAGCCAAGAGGATGCAGGTCGAACTGAAGATGAAACTGAACATGAAGATGTATATGAAGATAGGGATGGGGATGATGATGATGATGCAGATGATGATGATTGTGATGTTGAAGATGATGATGATGATGATGATGATGATGATGATGATGATGATGATGATGATGATGCTGATGATGATGATGATGATGATGATGGTGCGGATGAAGGTGATTGGGGATGAGCGTGGTGATGGTGATGCTGGAGATAATGATGCTGATGAAGATAACGATGATGAATATGATGCTTATGGTGCTGATGACGATGATGATGCTGCTGCTGATGCTGATGATGCTGCTGATGACGATGATGCTGCTGATTGCTGATGATGGTGATGCTGATGATGATGGTGAAGGTAGTGATGATGATGCTGATGGTGGTGATGTTGATGATGATGATGGTGGTTGTGATGATGGTGGTGGTGGTGGCGATGATGACGATGATGGTGATTCTGATTATTGTGGTAGTTGTGACGATGCTGTTGATGCTGTTGATGCTGCTGATGCTGAGCATGCGGCTGATGATGATGCCGAACATCATGTTGATGAAGATGCTGATGCTGGTGGTGATGATGATGATGATTATTGTGGTGGTGGTGGTGATGACGATACCGATGACGATGATGCAGATGCTGATGCTGATGCTGATGACGATGATGATGATGATGCTGATGATGAGAATGATGATGAAGATTATGCTGCTGATGCTGATGTTGCTGATGACAATGATGCTCATGATGATGGTGATGCTGATAGTGATGATGATGACTATGATGCTGATGATGGTGCTGATGATGATGATGATGCTGATGATGATGCTGATGCTGCTGCGGATGATGATAATGAGGCTGATGCTGATGCTGCTGATGATGATGATGATGATGATGAGTATGCTGCTGGTTATGATGATGTCGATGATGCTGATGACGATGGTGCTGATCATGATGATGATGCTGATGATTCTGATGATGATGATGATGATGCTGATGCTGATGCTGATGATGATGCTGATGCTGATGATTATGCTGCTGTTGCTGATGATGCTGCTGAGGATGATGATGCTGATAAGGATACTGATGCTGATGCTGATGACCATGCTGATGATGATGATGATGATGATGATGATACTGATGATGATGATGATGATGATGATGATGATGATGATGATGATGATGATGATGGTAACAATGATGACGATTCTGGCGATGCTGCTGATGATGATGATGATGATGAGGATGCTGATGCTGATACTGCTGATGATGATAATGCTGATGATGATAATGCTGATGATGCTGATGATGATGATGATGATGATGATGATGATGATGATGATGATGATGATGATGAGGCGGATGTGGAGATGGCGGACGAGGAGAAGGCGAAGGATGAGTAGGAGACAGGAACGTAGAGGAAGGGGGAGTATGAGGGAGAGGAGCGAGTGGAAGGAGGGAGGTCGGCGGATCTGAATCGCCTGGTGCACGTCCGCTCTCGAAACCTGAACATCGTTGAGAGGGAGATGAAAACGAGGCCATGGCTTGGGTTAGAGTGGGGTCGTCTGGAGTGCAGCGTGGGCCGTCTTGGAGCGACCTCGGGCCGTTGTCGGGTTTGGAGTGTTCTCGAGTCGTTTGAGGGCTCTCCTGGACCGCGTTGGACATACGTTGCCGAACGAGAGGGTGAGTGCCCCGAAAAAAGAACGGGGAGTCACAGGGGAATGGAGGAGCGTCGACTGAAGGGGATCAGGACGGGAACCCCATGAAGGCTGCGGGCTCGGAGAGGTCCGGTGGGATTTCGCGGGGGATTATCCAGGCTCTTTGAAGCATGCCTGAAGCTTCTTGCGGGTTCTTGGGCGCGAGATAAGGCGGCCTTTAGCAGAGGGTCTTTTGGGGCCTTTTGGGGGCTAGCTGGCGATCTCGGGAGCAATGATATTGGAAATGTTTCGGAATGCCCGATCGCCTTTCCCCCCTGTCTTGGAGGGCCTCTCGGATCGTCTTGGGGCCTTGCGGGCCGTGTGAGAGCCCCCTTGGGGGCCTCTTTGGGTGTCTGCCTCTTGGGCTGCCAGGGCTGTCGCCAGCCCGAGAAATCGAGAGCGCACACATGCATCGGGGGTGGACAGAACCCCCAACAGTGACACGTTGATTAGTGAATTGTCCGTTTTATCCCACAACGTAGGATTATCTGGGCAAAGGGCCCAACCACACGCAGTTGTGAGTACCGCGGTCGTGAGTCTGGTCTTCGGTGAAGCTCCCAAGGGGACCACGAAACGTGTGAGGGGCGTGCCGAAATTGTTGCGGCGGTGCCATGCAGGCGCTGCCACTGGAGCTTTCGGTGTAGCGCCCTGAGTGACAACGGATCATGTGAGGGGTGTGCTGGCATGGGTGCGGCGGTGCCATGCGGACGCTTCCACCCGGGCCTTCTGCGAAGTGCCTATGGGGCCACAGAACGTGTGAGGTGTGTGTGTGTGTGTGTGTGTGTGCGTGTATGTGTGTGTGCCGAAACAGGTGTGGCGGTGCCATGGTGGCGCTGCCACTGAGGCTTCTGGTGGAGCGAACATGGGGCCACGAATCGTGTGAGGGGCGTGCCGACATTGGTTCGGCGGTGCCATGCGGGCGCTGCCACTGGGGCCTTCGGTGGAGCTCCCCATGAGATCACGTGTGCCGAGTCAGGGGTGGGTGATCTGGATCGTGATGGAGACGATGATGATGAAAGGGCGAGGAGGATAGAGAGGAGAAAGAGCAGAAGAAGGAGGGGGCTGTGGGAGGAGGTGGACGCGGGGTGCTGTTTTCAAATCGAGGACCCAACACTACAAGACGGCAGGGAAATTCATGATTTTCGACTCTTGGGGGTCTTCTGAGGATGCTCTGTGAGCGCTTTGGGGCGGCGTGTTTTTGTAGGGGGGTATTGTTTGGAGGGCATCGTGGGCCCTCTTGGAGCGATCCTGGGCTGTTTGAGAGCCATCGCGGACCAGTCTTGGACGCGTGTTTCCGCAGGAGGGCCAAACTCGTCCGGAAATGACCCGGGACTGTCGAGTTATTTGGGATGGGCGAGGGGGGGAGCGCAGGGGGGAACCTCACCGCTCACTCCCCTCCCCTGGCGCCGAAGCGATCAAGGTATTGTTGCTCGAGTCGATTACGATGTTGCTCGATTCCTCGGCCTGGCGCGCGTGAGGAGAAGGGGTGCCTGCAGTCCACTGGGGAGGAGAGCGGCGACGATGACGGCGACGTGACAGTGACGACGACGAGGACGAGGACGAGGACGAGGCCGACGAGGACGACGACGACGAGGACGAGGACGAGGGCGACGACGACGAGGAGGAGGACGACGACGACGACGACGAGGACGGGGCCGACAACGACGACGACGAGGACGAGGATGAGGACGAGGCCGACGACGTCGACGACGACAACGAGGACGAGGACGAGGACGCGGCCGAAGACGGCGACGACGATGAGGACGAGGACGAGGACGAGGACGAGGACGACGACGACGTCGACGACGACTTCGGCGGCGACCTAAACGGAGAGGCCTCCCATGCACTTGAACAGTGCCGGTGTTGATGCTTCAAGGCGTCCTCGGCGCGGCGGGAAGAAGGCGAGCGGGCGCGGTCTTCAACTTACAGTATACAGTGGAGGCTCACGCCAAGAAGCACCCTGCTTGCCTCCAGGGTGCCCTGGGTTTCCCAGGTTTCGAAAGTGTTGCGATGGAGAGCGTGACGTGCCCGCGCCGAACATCGAAGGTCGTCCTGGGGTCTCAGGGCTGGGTTTCTTGTGGGAGGCTTCTTGTGGACTGGCCTCCACTGTTAATGCATTGTGGGTGAGACTCTGGCGCATCACCCATGCCAGCCCTGTCGACACGACTGGCCGCGCGATGTGGAGGGGACTCTCCTCGAAGACGCCTGACTCCGGCCGCCCCCTGCCTTCTGGAAATGCCGATGGGTCCAACGAAGGGATTACACGCCGGTCGTTGAAAGTAGGTGTTTTTGGATTCCCAGGTCCCAATCTACTTCAAGCGCCATCCTACTTCAATAATCGACATGCTTTTGCTATATTTTGTTATTCTATGGGAGGACCTGGACCCAATGCACTAAATCCTCCTTCCTACTTCATGTTTCTATCTACTTCTTCAGACCGACGTGTATGTGTCTCCCCAGCCGCTGCAGAATCCGTTTTGCGGGGGGCGGAAGCACGTTGATGCAGAGAGAGAGGCGGACGAGTTTCAGGAGGGAAAGAAACACAGACACAATTAATCATCGACTCCCCAGAAAATATGGGAGCAGATGGGCAGTGGGGGGAAGACAGAAACCCAGAACATGTACGGAAACTATGGGGGATCCTGTTCTTTGTGTGTCTTCCTTTGTGTGTCCCAGGGCCCCTTGAGAGGAGGACGAGGTGGAGGACAGGGCCTAGCGGCCCCGGGGGCGGCCTGGCCCCCCTCCCCCCCGTCGGGGCTGGGGCAGGACGGGAAGAGCTCGTCCCAGAGAGTTCCTGGGAGGCTCCATGCGTCGGGAGGGGAAAAAAACACACAGACACAGTGAATCGTCGATCCCATAGAAAAGATGGGAACATATTGAAAGGGGGGGAAGACAGAATCCAGAAAGTATGGGAAAACATGGCGAAGCCGGTTATCTGTGTGTACTTATTTGTGTGTGTGTGTGTGTGTGTGTGTGTTGTGGGCCCCTTCAATGCGAACCGTACCCCACCACCCCACGATTTCCAAGGGGGGAGGTGGGGTTCACTTCGTTCGGGGCCTCCCGAGCGAAGGGAACCCCACCTCCCCCCTTCGAAATCGTGGGGAGGTTGGGTTTAGGGTTCGCATGGTTCCTCCTAGTTCCGGAACGTTTCCGGGGCGTGCTGGAACGCCCCGAGAAGGCCGCGCGGCGCCCGACACATTTTCCAGCACCGCCAGGTCCCAGCGATTACCGACGCATCCGTGTCCGATACTGTCCCCGTCTTGGCTTCGTCTTACACTCAACGGGGACAAAATCAGCCCGACCCCCAGAATTGGCCCTTACCAGGCGGCCCTGGGCGTTTACTAAACAGGCCTGCCCTGTTCGATTCCTCCCTCGGGTGCGTCTACTAGCGGGCTCCTTCGTGCTTCTTCAGAGGGTCTTTCCCCCCCCCCCCCCCCCCTCTCTCTCTCTATATATATATATGTATATATGCACGCGCCCGAGGAGCCGCCGACGGCCTTCTGCCCGAGGCGGTCGTGCCTACGACGCTCAAGCCCCTGGCGCCCCGCCCGCCTCCGCTCGCCGCCTCGCCGCCTCGCCGGCCGCCGACCGCCGTCGCCGTCGTCGCCGCCGCGGCGCCCTCTGCCGTGCTGCCTCCGCGCTGGCGCCGGCGCTCCTGCCCGCCGCCGCCCGCAGCCGCGGCGGCGGCCGCCGGCGTCACTGCTCTCGCCGCTCCTGCGGGCGAGGTTTTTGTAACGAGGTTCAAACTTCGAGGTTCGAGGTTTTCGGGCGCTTTCGTCGGTTCTTCGCGGTTTTCCAGCCTCGGGATGCTTTCCAGCAGCTGCGCCTCGCCGAGGGCGTTCCGGGGGTGCCCAGATGGTCCCGAACGGCCGCCGGAGACCCGAGTTGTGACCCAAAAACCATATTCGGCGGCGCGCGATGGTGGTGAGACGAGGGGGGGGGATGTCTGTGAGGAAGCGGGGGGAGAAGGGGAGTGAGGGATGGGGAGTGATGGAACTCGCCGGCTAGCCGGCGCCGCGGGGCTGGTGGGCAAGGACCGGCAGGCCCCGGGGCGCGGTCGGGGTGTTGCTCTGGTCTTCGTCTTCACGGAGCTCGTCCTGAGCGGCATTAGAGAGCGGGCGCGAGTTGACAGACCGTTGCGGTGCTTGTAGGATGAAGGGGAAGTAGAGGAGGAGGAGGGGGAGGAGAAGGAGGAGGAGGAGATTAAGGAGGAAAAGGACGAGGTGGAGGTGGAGGTCGTTGTTGTTGATGATGATGATGATGATGATGATGATGATGATGATGATGATGATGATGATGATGATGATGATGATCCTGCTCCTCCTCCTCCTCCTCCTCCTCCTCCTCCTCCTCCTCCTCCTCCTCCCCCCTTCCTCCTCCTTCTCCCCCTCATCCTCATCCTCATCCTCATCCTCATCCTCATCCTCATCCTCATCCTCATCCTCATCATCATCATCTTCCTCCTCCTCCTTCTCCTCTTCCTCCTCGTCCCGTCCCTCCTCCTGGCCCTCCTCGTGCTGTCCCCTCGATGCTTCGGACCTCGTTTCCTCCTCGGTCGTTGTCCCTCCCCCGTGGTCGGTTTCTGTTGGCCTTCGCTTGCGCTTCGTTTTCGGGCCCCTCGGTCGGCCCCGCTTGTCACCGCGAGTGTCAGTGAGCCAGCGCTTGACTCTTTGCCCACGGCCGGGCGACAAATCCCCCGAGAAGAATTGTGGCCACGCCGCGCACTCAACTGGGAGCAGGTGCACCTGGTCCTCGAAGAAGAAAAAACGATATAAACATTTCTTGGATTCTTGGATCCGCGCTGGGCACCCCCAACGGCGCCTCCGACGCCGCCCCTGGCGCGCTCCGCGCGCCAGAGAGGGGGGCCAAGCGCGGATCCAAGAAGTCCGCGCGGAGCGCCAAACGTTTATGTTTGTGTTGCTATTCTTTTGAAAGGTCCGGCGCCCAGTTGGGCCACGGAAGTGCTGGACGGACTCGCGCGCCCGAGGAGCCGAGGCTGCATACGAGAGGCGGCCTCTCTGGCGCGAGGGTGCGAGCTCGCTCGCTCGCTCCCTCCCCTTGCCTGCTCGGTGCCCTGCTCCCCTTCAGTCGGGCCTGTCCCTCTGCAGGAGGAATATTCAGAAATACTTTAAGACATGGCCTGGGGACGATGTTTCCGTGTTTTTTTTTGTTGGGGGGGATATTTCTTGAATTTGTTTTGCATCTGTTGAATTCTTCGTCCAAGGTCCGCCTGTAGGAGGTTCCGCCCGACCCAATGCTCCCCCATTTAAGCTCCCGAAGAGGTGCTGGAGAACTGGGAGAGCGGCGAGATCGACGCCGGCCCGGGCCGCGGCGGGGCGCGCCGGATCGTCGCCAGCCTTGCGCGGGCAGGCCGCAGGACTGGAGCGGGCAAGGTTCTAGACGTACAGCTGGAGCGTTCTGCGTCAGCCCAGCTGCCCAGATCCATCTGGGGTTAAGTCGGGCATGTCCCTCTACAGGAGTAGTATTCCAAAATAGTTACAAAAGAGTCGGGGGACGATTTCTTGAGTGTTTCTGATTTTTGTTGAGCATGTTTCGAATATTCTTCATTTTTCGTATAAAATCCGCCTGTAGGGGGACATGCCCGACCGAAGCGTAGAGCTGGAACGTTCTGCGTCAGCCCAGCTGCCCAGATCCATCTGGGGTCGCGTAATTCTGGGTACTCTCCCCCCTGGCGACGGCGATGGCGGTGACGACAGCGTCGTCGGCGGCGACGGCGGCGGCGACGATGGTGCTCTCCTGGCACGTGTCCGCGGCGCCAGATGCATCCTCCAGGGCCGCCAGATCTCAGGTATTCTCGACTTATTGTCAACCCGCATGGGAAGGATGACGCTGCTTTCCAAGGTTACCCTTGCATCCTTCCCTTTCTGCTCATCCTCGGCTGCTCTCGCGGGCCGCGCCCTGCCCGCCAAGTGTCGATATGGCCTCGCAAGGCCTTCGCACCCTTCTCGTGCGTCCTTCCTGTACGGGTTGGCTGTACCATCCCCCGATTTCATCCTCGCCCCGGCTTCGTCTAAACTAGGGAAACAAACACTGACGTAAACGTAATGATTCAGAGGTCGTCGCGTACCTCAGAGTTTTTATGCTTCTATCATTGTTAATTTCCCTGGTATCCTTCCCCGATTGTATCCTCTTCCTGGCTGTGTCCGAACGTGGCTGGAGCCAGTGTTGGCGCGTATGCCCGAGTTGATGGGCTTGTTTTCCACCACCACCACCACACGTTGGAGGGGGAGGGGGTCCTCCTCCTCCTCCTCCTCCTTCTCCCCTTCCTCCTGCTCCCCCTTCTCCTCCTCCTCCTCCTCCTCCTCCTCCTCCTCCTCCTCCTGCGTTTCTGCGTTTCTCGCTCTGAGCAGCGTCTCACGAACGCCCGGAGCGCGGAGCGCGCCGCAGCAGCCCACGAGGGCCGTGCGGGCACTCAGACGACGGCCCCGGGAACCCGACCCCGAGGAAGAGAAAGAGGACCAGGGACCAGCCGTTACGCACGTAACAGAGGGGAAGAGACGGGGCCGGGTTTCAAGGTGGGGCCCCTAGGGGCCCCAAAAGGCGCGGCGCGCGGCCGCGGAGCAGGCGTAGCCGCAGAGGCAGGGGCCACCGCCCCCCGCCTCTTCAGATGAAGTACTCCCTGCGGTAGCCGAACGCGACGAACTTGTCCCCCCCTCGGTGGCCGCCAGCCTCCTCCGCCTTAGGAGGGCGGCACGCTCACCACCCGAGGGGGCGATGGCGTTGAGGAAGCCGCAGTTCAGGTTGGTTACCTCCGTGAAGCCCTGCTGGTGCCCGATGCACTGCTGGTGCCCGGTGCTCTGCTGGTACCCGTTGGTGTGCTGCTGGTTCTCGGGGGTGCGCTGCTGGTTCCCGCAGGTGTGCTGCTGGTTCCCGTCGGCGCGGGGTGGAGGCTTGGCCGCCAGGCTGGTGTTGGGGCGCGCCGTCGGAGACGCTCTCCTGGGGCGTGGTGTTTCTGGTGGCGTCGCCGTGGTCGGCTGGGCCATCAGGGTCATCGGTATCGAACTCTTCCCCTGGGGGGTCGGGCACGGCCTCGAGGATGAAGCGCACCTTCTTGGTCGTATGGGTTGGTGTGGTGGCGGCCGTCGGAGTCCTCCTCGTGGGAGTCGACCTGGGGCTGCTAGTCTTCCTTCTGCGTCCTCCTGCGTCCTCTGCGTCCCTGAGGTACGGCGCGAAGAGCGGGTCGGAGGCGAGTGCATCTCGTGGGCACTCGATGGTCCACTCTGCCTGCGCCTCGCTGCCCAGGGAGCTCCAAGCCTGCGTGGCTATCCACTCGCTGGCGCCACGGCCGCGGGCGTAGCGCATGAAGGCCGAGTAGGCCGCGAGCTCGGCGAACGAGACCTCCTCGTAGGCGCGCTGCTCCTCGTGCGGGAGCAACGAGAAGGCCGAGCGGGCTCCCTCGGCTTGGACGGTAGCGAGGCGTGCTCGCAAGGCCTCCTCCTCGGTTCTGTCGATGACGACGTTGAGCGTGTCCTCGAGATCCTCCTCGAAGATGTCCCACGGCTTGCGGATGTTCGATGTGATCTGTCCGCTCTCCCATATGTTGGTTCTGGCGGGGGAGTCGTCGTTGGCCGCTGCCCCTTCTCGCACTGCAGGCTGCCACTGCCCGCTGCCACTGCACGCGCCGCCGTCGGACAGGGTGTCCTGGGGCGTGGTGTCGCCGTCAGCGTCGCTGTCGGAGTCCTCCAGGACGGAGTCGTCGTCGGCTGGGCCGTCTGAGTCGGGCGTGGGGTCGTCGAGGGTCGCACCACAGCCGTCCTGATCGCGCCACTGCCGTCCTGATCGCACCTTTGCCGTCCTGATCGCACCACTGCCCGCGGCCGCCCTGATCGCACCACTGCCGTCTCTTCTCGCACCACTGCCGCCCGTCTCTTCTCGCACCACTGCCGTCTCTTCTCGCACCACTGCCCGCTGCCGGCTCCTCGCACCGCTGCCCGCGGCCGCCCCGATCGCGACGCTGTAGCTGTTCTCGTCGGGCTCTTCCTTCGCCTCCCGCTTCTCGCAGACGCTGACCACAGGGATGGAGCTGGAGCGCACAGGGCCTGTCTTAGCCTCTTTCTGTCCACGGTCCCTGACTGCAGCGCTGTAGCTGATCGTGTCGGACTCAAGCTTCGCCTCCGACTTATCACGCGCACTATGATTAGAGCCAACGAGGATGACGGGCTCTATCTTCGCGTTCATAGGCTCGCGTGCCCTGGCCGCCTCACTGTAGCTGGTCGTGTCGGACTCTTGCTTCGCCTCCGACTTCTCTTTGCAGGGTAGCGCCTCTGGGAGCGGGCCGTAGGCGGTGAGGTGAAGACTTGTTTGTTTCTCGCTTTGCGCACGCTCTGGTTCTTCCGCTTCGTGCGCGCTTTGGTTCTGCTTGTGACTTCGCCGCCGTCCTCGCAGCTGTTGCCAGAAGTGCCAGTACCTGTCCTGTAGCCTGGGCTGCCACTGCCTGCCTTCTCGCAAGGGCCGCCACTGCCTGCCTTCTCACACGTGTCAGTTTGTGCAGTTGCAACGCCGCCCGCTGTCGGCGCCGTCCCTGCTCGCACAGTGTTGGGCTTCAGCTCGCCCTCTTGCTTCTCGCAGGGTGGCGCACAGCTCAGAGCAACGGAGGGATTGGGCTTCTCGCTTCGCGGACACTCTGGTTTTGCCTTCGCTTCTCGCGCGCTCTTGTTCTGGGTTGTAACTTCACCCACGTCTGGCAGCCAGCGAAGGGCCCAGAAAGTAAAGGACTGCTGTTCTTGATGCGGCTGCTGCCATTCTTGATGCGGCTGCTGCCATTCTTGATGCGACTGCTGCCATTCTTGATGCGACTGCTGCCAAAGATCGGCCTCCTGCTGCTCTGAGCTGTAGCAGATCACGTCTGCACTGTCGCTAGTGTCTCGGGGGGTCGGCACCTGGATGATATCTGGAAGTTGCCACGGCCAGGAAAAGTCTTGCCTGAATTCGTGAGGCTCGCTACTTGTGTGGGCCACATTATCGATGTCCGAAATTCGAGCAAAGGATGCACCTGGCGTGTATGCGGGTGCCTCGGCCCGCAGCTGAGGGTCGCACGAATCTTTCTGAACAACTGCCTGCTGCTCGCATTGGAGTTGGATGGCAATATGTTTCCAGTCTCGCATACTTACTCGCCTTCCTGTTCTGACCGCGTATCCGACACGGCGAACCGCCTTCTCAGACAGTCTCGACGATCTCCTCACGAGTCGTCGGTTGCTCCTGGTCTCGATCATTGTCTTGATGCAGGCGAGAAAGAAGAGAAATATGGTGCATCAAGACATCGCGGCGCCTGCTGGGAAGCGCACGCCTGAGGCCGGCCCGCGCGGCCGCCCGCCCCCGCGGGGGGCAGCCGGGGTTCTGGCCCCCGATGGCCTTCCTCCTCCTCCTCCTCCGACGACGACGACGATCGACACCTTCACACTGCCCAGAGAGCACCGCACGATCCAGACGCTCGAGGCAGTGCTGGAGGCCTGCCGCAGGGAGGTGGGGAGGCGGCCCGCCCGCACGGCGCCGAGGCGTCGCGCGAGGCGGGCAGCCCAGTGGCGAGCCCTGCATCAGGAGGGGAAGAAACACGCAGACACAATTAATCTCGGGGGAGCGTAAGACCTGGGTTTGCCAGGACTCGGGTTCGCCATCGTTTTTTGACGACCGCGCCTCGGATTTTGACGAGGAGGAGTTTCGTGGGATGTCTGCAGCGGGAGGCCTCGTCAAAATGCAGGCTCGGCCTCGTCATTTTTTTTGACGACCTCGTCGGGGATTTCCGAGTCCCCTGTACCCAGGTCTTACGTCCCCCTGATAATCGTCGACCCCCAGGAAAATATGGGAACATATGGGAAGTGGAGGGGGGAACGACAGGAACCCAACACATATGGGAACATATGGGGGATCCTTCTATTTGTGTGCATTTATCGGTGTGTCCCAGGGCCCCTATCATTGCAGTCGGCCTGCTCGAGAGTCTATCGGAGCGCGACGTCGGTGGAAAAGCAAGGAACGATATACAGTCGAGATTGATTAGTAGGTCGACCCTTCCAAGCCAATGGTACCCTTGTGTCCTGTACTTCTCGGGCCGTGCCTTCACATTCCCGTTGCAGTGTGGCCCTCGGCAGGGTTTGGTGTCCTCTCGCGTGTCCTCTCCAAGCAACCCCGACTGTAAGCCAATCCATGGAGCAGATCATTCCACCGAGCGGCACCGAGCCCACGGTGACGAGGACCACTCTCGAGCTCGACGTGGCCGCGATCAGAGTCGAGCGGTGCCACGATGCCGACAAGGTGAGCTCCAGGTAGCCGCACCAGTTTGGCCAATGAGAGGAGTCGTCACGAACGCGTACATCGCGGACGGAGTGGCGACCCGCCACACTGGTGAGGCCCCGCCTGGTTGGCTGGAAGGCGAGTTGGCGAGCTGGCTCGACATCCCGACGCAGTAGGACAGGGACGCTCAGATGTGCAGGCCCGTGGGACGGGCCCCATCGTGTTCGTTCGTGGTGAAGTGATCGGGGGCGCGGCGCCCTCTCCTACATCTCAGCCCCTGGTGGCAGCGAGCCCAGTCAACGAGGACGATGACTACTGCCCGTTCGAGTTCAAGTGAGCTGCTGCCCCCCATTTCATTGGACAGCTCAATGAATCACACAGCCGAATCTTCCACCGTTGCTAGGATGGCAGCTCTCTGCGAGTTGCACCTGCATGATGCGTAGCTAACCCTTGCAGCAGCCTGCCCCGCCGCGCGTGTGTTGCAGCATCGACCGAGCGCGCGCGCCAGCTTGCATAGCAGACCAGAGAAGGATCGATACGAGACCCGATCCAGCGACGGGTTGCCACATTTCTATGTACCTCACGCTTCCAGGCATTCGTAACCCCAGCCGTCGAGTAAGAAAAGGGCTCCTCCTGCTCCTTCTCCTCCTCCCTCTCCTCTTTTTTCTCCTCCTCCTCTTCGTCCTCGCCCTCCTCATCCTCCACCTCCACCCCCCTCCAGCTTATGGTGGTGGTGTTGGAGAAAACCCATCGTGGCGCGTGTGCCCGAGTGCGGTCGAGGTGGAGAGCCTCATCGAGATGCCGGGCCTGGTCATGGACAACGCGGGCGCGGCAGGCCCGCGGCGGCGCGGCGTGCTCGTGGGCCTGCTCTTTTTTAGTCCTCTGGTGGGCATCGGTCGTTACGCGCTGACGTTGTCGTCCTCCTCCTCCTCCTTTTCCTTCTCCTCCTCCTCTTCCTCCTCCTCCTCCTCTTCCTCCTCTCCTCCTCCTCCTCCTCCTCCTCCTCCTCCTCCTCCTCCTCCCCCTTTTTCTTCTCCTCATCCCCCTCCTCCTCCGCCTCCTCCTCCTCCTCCTCCTCCTCCTCCCCCTCCCCCTCCCCCTCCTCCTGCTCCCCCTTCTCCTCCTCCTCCTCCTCCTCCTCCTCCTCCTCCTCCTCCTCCTCCTCCTCTCCCCCTCTTCGTCGTCCTTCTCTTCTTTCTCCTTCACCTCGTCCTCCTCCTCTATCCCCTTTCCTCCTCCTCCTCCTACTCCTCCTCCTCCTCGTCCTCCTCCTCCTCCTCCTCCTCCCTCTCCTACTCCTCGTCCTCCTCCTCCTCCTCCTCCTCCTCCTCCTTGACCCCTTCCCCCTCTTCCTCCTCCTCCTCCTCGTCCTCCTCCTCCTCTTGCTTCCTCCTCCTCCTCCTCCTCCTCTCCTCCTCCTCCTCCTCCTCTTCCTCCTCCTCCTCCTCCTCCGTCTCTTCCTCCTCCTCTCCGTCATTCTCTGGACCTTCGGGCGTGCCCCTCGTCGCCGTGCCCGCAGCTGGCTCGCCGGCAGCGGCCCGGGAGGCGCGAAGGGCGACGAGGAGGACGACGAGACGACAGCTGGCGGCGAGCGAGGGGGGAAGTCAGAAGGAGAAGGCCTTCTCAGAAGGCGGCGGGACTTCTCAGAATCCCTCACGCGTTCTGAGAAGTGTTTTGCGTCGCTGGGGGAAGGCTTGGACAACTTTCCAGAATGCCGGGGGTCTTCCGAACCCTCTGAGAAGGCCTTTTCCTTCTCACTTCCCCCTCCGGGCTCGCCGCCGAGACAGGGGGTCGACGTCGTCGGTGTCCTTGTCGTTGATAGCAGCGGCAGATTGGGCAGCGAATGCAGAAGGGATGAGGAAGACCGGCGAAGACGGAGGAGGGAGGAGAGGGAAGAGGGAGAGCGAGAAGGGAGGAGCAAGGGAGAGGAGGGAGGAGGATGAGGAGGGAGGAACAGGGTTGAGGAGGATGATGAGGATATGATAATGAGGAGGAGGGAGGAGGAGGCGGAGGAGGAGGAGGAGGAGGAGGGGGAGATGGAGAAGGAGGATATGGAGAAGGAAGAGGAGGACGGAGGAGGAGGGGGAGGGGTGCATTATACGTACTGGGGGAAGGGAGACCTTGTTTTGGCTCTGACTCAGGATAATGATAATGAGGAGGAGTGATCTGTGGAGCAGGGAAAGAATGACGGGAGAGGAAGGCGGGAAGATGGTGTTGGGCAGTTGGGGCGGCGGGCAGGGAGGGGGGGCGTTGTTCTCGGGAAGGGCAGTGGAGAGGGGGTTTGCGTTCGCCTCCTGCCGCTTCCTCGCCCTCCCCTTCCCGCCTCTCCCCTGGATGCTCCTCTTCTCCTCCTCATGCTTCCCCCCTTTGGCCCTCCTCCTCCTCCTCCTACCTCATCCTCCCAGCAACACTTATAGTTAATACATTGTGCATGCTGCTCTCCTCTCTGTGCCTGGAAGATGCGCAGCCCTCTCCGCGGTCTCCTCTTCTACAGAGGATTTTCAACATTTTGTGTGTGGTTCTTTACGCCCAGTTTTTTATCGTTTCTTTCCAAATCGTGTTCCCGCTTAAGCATGTGCCTCGTTTTCGGATCGGCGTTGTGCCCAATGTCGTTCAGAGTGAGGCTCTCGCCCCAGCGCGGGTATTGTTTTTGGATCCGTGTTTTTTGTTTTCTGGTTATCCGCCCAAATCGTTTCCTCTCCTCCGCCTTCACTGGTCCTCCCGCTTCTCTCGCTTCTTGTACTTCAGTTTCTGCTGCTTCTGTCCGTCCTCGTTCTCCTCCATGTCCTTGTTATCATTCTCATCCTCCTGCTCACCCGCCATATCCTAAGTACGCAGCTCCCCTTTTCCAATTGCGATAGACAGGATGGGGTCTGCTTAATGGTTCCATGTCGGCTATGACATGCGCCCGCGGATAGCGCATCAGCGCAACGGGAAGGGATGGGAGAGAGGGATCAGACGTCAGATGTGGCGCGAGCGCGCCTACATTTCCTCCTGTCCCCTCGTCCTTAAGCTCCTACACTCCTTCTCCCTCCTTTTTTGTCTCTTCCTCTTCGCCATCACTCTTCATCCTTCCTCCCCCTGCTCCATCAAAGCTTCCAAGATCCCGAGGCACTTCCAGGACCATCCCAAAGCCTGTAGGAGTGCCCAACAATACGCCCCTACTCTCAAGCCTTTTCCTCTTGACGCTTCTTGGAAACGTTGGGCTATGTTGCAACAGTGTGGAATATTCTGCCCTCCCATGCTACTGCTCGTCCTTCTCCTCCTATTCCTCCTCCTCTCATTCCCTCGCCAACCTTTCAACGCCGCCCCCCGACCTGTCCCCGGTCCCAATCAGAACTTCGTGGCGATTCCAGCCGCGGCGGCCAGAGCCTCCCTAGCGTGGGGGCGGAGGCAAACGTGCTTCCTAACATCGACGCATCGGCGTGCGTCTTGGCGCGTGACTTTCGCTTCTGAGCCTTGCTCCAAGTCTAGACCCAGCGCATGTTGCGTGCGGGACTGGAGCTGCCAGCCGTGCAAGAGCTCGCGGCTTGTTTATATGCCTGCGCATTTTGGTTTGCGGGTGAAGGGTATATTACCCCGACCTGTCTTGGGCTACGAGACACGATCGTTTTGCAAGCCTTCCATGTATGCTGCCACGTGTTCAGAGGGCAGTGCGACATGACTGCGTATGATGCCGCAGCGAGCTGCGACATGTTGGGCCCAGCGGAGAGTCACGACGAGCCGAGTCCCTCCTCCCGTCTCCCCTCTTCTCCTCCGTCCTCTTCTCCTGCTCCATCCTCCTCTCTCGTTTCCCTTCTGTTCCTGATACCCGCCCCTCGGCGTCTTCGTCTTCCACCGCTTCCCTCCTGCCCCGGCCCAGCGGAGGCTCGCAAGTCTGCGATTACAAGTTGCTCTGCCACTGCGGCAGCCGCGCCTGCCAGAGGCCAGTCGACACCACGTTCTCTGGCCAGGAGACGATTGTTGTCGCCGTCGACGTCGTCGTAATCGTGGCCGTGGTCTTCGCGGTCGCAGGCGCCGTCGTGCTTGTCGTCGTGGTCGTCGTGGTCCTGGTCGCCGTCGCCGTCTTCGCGCTCGTCGTCGTGGTCGTCGCCGTCGCTGGTCGCCGCTCGACGCCCAGGAGACGATCGACATCGTGGTGAACACCAGCCGCCGCCTCGCTGGGGCGCCCCTCCCAGAACCCCCCCCGGGCGCCGCGGGCGGCGCCTCGGCGGGCGGCTCTGGTTGACCCATTGAGGGGGTCCAGCGAGAAGAGGGTGCCGCAATAGATTTGGTGCGATCGTGCTGCGTTGGGCTGCAGTAGGTTTTGGCCGTGCACTACGTTCCGGTGCGCAAATGTATTGCTGGATTTTCGCGTGCAACGTATTCGTTGCAATACAAAGCGCTACAATTCTCCGGCGCAATCCACTTGCGGTACAATTGTCCCAACTCTATTGCACCACCCCCTTTTCAGCTGGACCCCCCCTTGAGTCAACCAAAGTTTCGTAGGGGGGCCCCAGTCTTCAAAAGAGGGCCGCCTCCATCCATGTGGCGCAGGGGCCCTCCTCGAGGGATCGAGAGGTTGATGTTGTTGTTCTTTTTGGAGGGCCCGCGGGTGCAAAGCCACGGCGCTGTCAGAACGCCATCAGAAGGTCAGCGGAAACTAGCGGAATCACAGGGGCGCCCCTAAGAGATTACATTTTTTGGAAGCCAGGTTTTCCAGAAGCCGCCACCGACGGGCATTTTTGAGACCAGTGTGCGCGGTGCCAGAGCGAGAGCCCCAGGTTGAAAAAGAGCTGCCCTCCATCTGTGTGGCTGATGGCTATTTCTGAGACCTTTGCGTGCGGCCCAAAAGGCCAATGTCCCGTTTTAGAAGGAGCCTCGGTCCGTCTGTGTAGCTGTTGGATGTGTTCTGGATGAGTGTTCTCGGCGCTGGGGCGAGAGTCCCCTTTTTCAAAGTGCACAGGCCTCTATCCGCGTGACGGTTGGACGTTTCAAGCGTCAGGAGCAAAACAGTGAGGAAGTCTCAAGCGAAACATCCAGCCAGCCCCAACGACATGTCTTGTCAAGGGACAGGGATGCGTTGTGTATATACATATATATATATATACACAGACACATTGGTATATGTATATGTCGTCAAATGTGTGTATATACAATATCGCCTTTGATCTATTTGTATTGATCCGGGGGATGCGGGAAGACCCCCGTCCTCCACCGAAACGGGATCCCCAGCGTCATGTACCACCTCTGGAAGTCCCTGCCAGGCCGTGCAAACGAGTCGGCGGCGGCCCCAAGAGACCCCTCAGACGATCAAAGACGGCCTGCAGTAGACTCGGACCCCCGCTGTTCAGTCTTTCGCCAGCTTTACCACTTCAGTCACACTTACCACGTGAGCCTTCAATCTGATATCATTTGAGATGGTAGTACCTACCTTCTACATTACAATGATTTTTGTTTATTGTGGCGACCTAGAACGCCGAACGCGCCAGACCGTCTGCACTTGTATCATTTTTGTGGGAGGTGTACGGCAGGTTGAGAGTGTATATCTGGCGACTGCGCCCCTCACGTTGCGCCCTGGTTTTTACCCCTGGTTGACGATTGTTTCCGGGCGGCATCCGTTTTACTTTTTATCTCTTACATCTGTGTTAGTGTTTTTTTCTCATTGGGCACTGTTCACTGCAGCGGATGCAAATGTGTCATCGGACGTTGATACCAGGTCTGAGCTTTGATGTTCCACCTGGCAAGGAGGAGGCGGGGGATCAGGAGAGGAGGGGGGGACAGGAGGGGAGTTTAGGGGCCAGGGAGAGTGCGCCAAGGTCCGCACCTGCGCGCCAAAAGAAAGAGGTGCGCCAGGCTTGTAGGGCACGCTCGCAATCGCGGCGACGCGGCCCAGGGAAGCGCTTGCGAGATCGCAGGCCTTGCGCGCGTCGGCCCATGTGAGGATGTGAGAACGAGGGGAGGGCCCCCAGCCCCCCCCCCCCACGCATTCCGGAGCACGGGTGCTGAACATCGCGGTCGGTGCGGGCGGGCACGATGTTCCCGAGACGGGGGGGTCCCTCAGGGCCGCCGAAGCAAAACCATCATCAACTTTGATTGCGTCATGCGCTGCGAGCCGCGATGTGTCGTCCAGGCGGTGCGGCGGCGCCCCCCCCCACGACGGCTCCAGCAGGTATCCCAGGAGGCCCCGAGGAGTCCGGAGGGTTCGCTTTCTGTTCTTCGGCTCGGGGGTGGACAGAACCCCCAATTGAGACACGTCGATTAGTGAATTGTCCGTTTTCGGTTCTCGAGAGGGCGCCGTGGCCGTTATTGCCCAGGTTTGCGCCCGCCAGGTTTGGGCCTCAGGTCGTTTTCACTAAACCTCGTTTTATCTGTCCATTCCCGATCGGCCCCGCCCCATGTTGTGTTTGGAAGGGTGAGCTCCCAGTCCTGCGCAATCCTTGAGAAAGACGAAACCTTCGCATCGCTCGGACGTGTGCATTTTTCTTTCGGCGAGGACCATCGAGGAGCATCCTTGATCATTTGGCGAAACCACCACGCACGAAACCGAATCAAAGCGCAGGGAATGGACGCCCGAGCGATGGCGAGAAACCGAATCCTGAAACGTTGGAGGTCCAGAAGTGCACGCGGGATCATGGGGAATCCCAGGTGGCCGGGCGTGCAGGCTCCCAAATTGGCAGGAAGCCTGCGGAATCCCGTGGGGCTCCCAGGGACCTCCAAGAGCGCGCAGGATTCCCAGAACGTCCGCCAAGAGTCCTGCAGGACCCTTAAGTTTTTTTTACGATCCAGCAGGAAGCCGAAGGAGCCCTAAGGGATCCACAGGGGTCCTCTGGAATCTTTCTGGCAATGTGCATGAATATTTAAGAATCCGCCGCAACCCATCAGGAATCTTCATGCATCCTCAGGCATCTTGCCTGTCTCCAAACTTGGTGTCTTTTTGCTGTGCCCGACATGGGCTCAAAGCGGACTCGACACGGATTCGGCGTGGATTCGACGCGGATTCGTCGTGGCCTCGGCCCAGACTCGAAGAGGCCGACGTGGATCCGACACGGACTCGATTCGGACAAGGGCGTGAGGGGACAGACAGTGTCCCCCGAATCTGCGACCTAGACAGTACATTTTGTTCATCCAATTCGGCCCTCACGATTTTCTCGCGACGCCCCGATCTGAAGTCGGGCCTGTCCCTCTACAGGAGGAATCTCCAAACATCATAGAAAAATAGTCAGGGGACTCTATTTCTGGAGAATTGTTTCTTCCATGCCAAAACCACCTGTGGGGGGGGAACATGCCCGACCTCTCTTTTTCGTTCGTCTCCGCTGAGGCGACAGCGGCGCCGCTGGAGGCCCCCCGCAGGGCCGACGCCGACAGCGAGGCCTCTGCGGGGGCCGCGGCGGCGGCTGCGCCCTGGCCCGCCGCCGGGCGGCGCCTGTCCGCGGGGCGTGCCGAAGGGGGGCGACGCCAGGGGGGGGGGAGGAGGAGGAGGGGGAGGAGGAGGAGGAGGGGAGTGGGAGGAGGAGGGGGGAGGGAGGAGGAGGAGGGAGGAGGAGGAGGAGGAGGAGGAGGAGGAGGAGGAGGAGGAGGAGGAGGAGGAGGAGGAGGAGGAGAGGAGGAGGAGGAGGAGGAGGAGGAGGGAGGAGGAGGGGGGAGGAGGGGGAGGAGGAGGGGGAGGAGGGAGTAGGAGGAGGAAGAGGAGGAGGAGGAGGAAGACGAGGAGGAGGAGGAGGAGGAGGAGGATGAGGAGGAGGAGGAGGAGGAGGAGGAGGATGTTTTCACACGTTCAGTCTTGACACTGGCGCGTGTGCAGCAAACGGCTGCTACGCGCCAAGCACCTCGCTCGATTCGCAATCGTACTTGCACCCTGAATCATCCGCTTCAGGACAACCGCACGCACTCCCGAACGTGAACTCGAAGTCTGCATCAACCGCCCGGAACCGCACGCACGACGCGATAGTAGTCGCGCGTTACCTTTACGTCGGGCGTGTCCCTCTACAGGAAAAACATCCCAAAACAGTTAACGAATAGTCTGTGGACGATTTATTCTCAGCATTGTTTGATTACTTGTGGTATTGTTGGAGTATGTTTTCAACATTTTCGCCCAAAAAGCGCCGCGTCATCTGGGCCGGCTCGCGCGCGTCTCGCTCCGCCCGAATTTTACGTCGCCGCGCCGCTTCGCGCGTGGCCGCGACGCGAAAAGCGTGTGTGAGCGCTTGTGTGTGCGCGTGCGTGTCAGCATGCGGTCAACATCCCACTAGCTAGAAGTGTTCACCCGACTGAGGGAACGGCATCCCGGTGCCCGTCTCAACGGCTCTCCCAGTTTCGGGGCGCATCCCGAAGGTTGTCCTCGCCTCGGGCTCGTCACTGCAGGGCCCCGCCTTCCCTCCGACAGGTCGACCCTTGGCACCGGCCTGCCGTCCGTGGTGACGGTCCTCTTCGGGATCTCGCCGCCGGGGGGCAGCGAGTTCCTGGACAGCGCGATGCGGGGAGAGGGGGGAGGAGTCCCAGGCATGGACGCGTCGTGAAAACAACACGACGGAAGGTTTTTGCTGATTTTCGGCCTCGGGGGGCCCTCGCCAGGCCCCGGGATTGTCAAACAACGAGTCGACATGGAAAACATGTCCCCTGGTAACGGTCGGACTGTATGGGCGTGCTTCAGTAAATCAAGTCGTCGCATGTCTGGGTTGCACTCAACAGCCATGAGGTCGATTGAGCTTCATCTGGCACGCCGGCATTCTTCGATGGACACGCCCTCGTACACTCTGGAACGCCCGCGCGGAATTCTTGGATCCGTGCCTCCAGCACCGGCCCTGGCGTGCGGAGCTCGCACGACCAGGCTGGCATCACCGATACGTACTTCTGTCATCCGCTTAGGACTGGCGCATCCCGATGTATACTGGGCAGCAGGCTTCGCCAGTACCGCCCTCTCCAATCCGCTGCCGTTCTGGCCCGAGTTGTTGTCCTCATCCTCAGTTGCGCCGCCCCGATCACTGATCCCCAGACCGGCCATTCCGAGCCAATGCAGACCGTCGCGGTGTTCGTGGCCCTCCTGGGCCTGTCGGCGGTGAGCGTCTCGAGCGCCTCCAAGTACAGCCCGGGCACGTGCCACTGCGACTGCTGCGCGCCGGTGGACGGGGGCGAGAAGGAGTGCACCGCTCCCGTGGGCTCGCTCCACAGCCAGACCAAGACCGACGTGTGCCTCGCGGTGTTCTGTACGGAGGGCGACACGCTGGGGGCACAGAAGCAGGCGTTCAGCAACTTCTGCAGCTCCAAGTGCTTCCCGGACACCGCGGTCCCGACCACGTGCCGCCCGAAGGACTGCACGGACCAGGGCGTGAACGTGCACTGCGAGTGAGCGCACCAGCGCCCGTTCCCGGTCGGACGGACCGTGGTGCGAGAAAAGGACGCTTCTGCGGGAAGCCCGCTTTCGCGTGGTGGACATGATTGCGTTCGGATGCAATGCCTAGGAGGTTGCATTTCCCATTGGCGTGGCGCTGGTACAGCCGCGGTCGACAGCTGTACTGCTCCGACTTTATCTGGCTTATCCAGTTCTGATTCCGTTCAATTTCGTTTAATTCTAGGCTGAATCTGGCTTAACGACGGATCTGGCTTGGTAGCCTCTCTTGTTCCCACGAAGCCCTCCCACGAGTTGCCTTCTTAATTCTTGACGCTTCGCGTATCCTCACCTGTCAGGCTTTTCCGCTGGACTATGTCCCCAGTCAGTCTGTGTTACCCGTCAGACTCCCTGGATCGATGTCCTCGGGAACGTTCCTTCTGTTCGCATCTGAACTGCTGGGAACGCCTCACGCGCCTTTTTGGCTGCGCTTGGTCTCCTCGGTGCCTGTCTTCAGACTCCCTGGATGCACCGTTGCATGCTCGTTCAGGGGCTGTTGCAGACTCCCTGGATTGCACGTTGGCTCTGCCGCCCTGGGCGCTGCCCCCCCCGCCGCCTGATCCGCGGCCCCCGCGCGCGCTCGGCAATTTAGTCGCGGCCGTAGCCCGCCCGCGACCTCCCGCCGCTGGCGCTTCCGCCTGCAGCTGTAAAAAGATATAAAAAAGTATCCTCACCTGTATGGTCCACCGCGTCTCTTGAGCCGCAGCGTAGCTCGCTCCTGTGCGCTCTTGTGCCGAATAGGCCGCTGCTTGTTAGCCGCGTTTTTTTGACGGCGCCTGGCATCCCTGCGCGCTCGCGAGCACCAAAATAGATCCCCACCCGCAAGCCCATCTCACCAGCATGCAGGATGCAGTCACGCCCTAGGACTCTCGGAGCCTCTGGGATGCAGTCTGGGGCCATCCACGGGCCGTCGTGGGGCCCTTTGGAGGCCTCTGTTGTTCTATTGCGCCCCTCTTGGGGCTCTTCTGTGGCTCACTTGGGGCGCTTTCTTGGGGGCCTAACTTAGGGGATGCTCTTGGGGACATCATGGAGGCCGTCGATAAAACAAGTGGACGTAAGTACTTACGGCCCGTTCAGAGGCTCTATAGTCGCCTCCTGGAGCTCTCTTGGGGAACTCTTGGGGCGCTCTTGGGAACTCTTGGGGGCATCTTGGGCCTCTCTTGGTGTTCTCTGTCTGGGCATCTTGGAGCCATCTTGAGGCCTCAAGAGCCCACTGGCATCGACAAGGCGGCAAACAACATTGATGTTCCCGAGGTATTGGCAGGATTTCAACATCACCAGTGGTCGTTCGTGACCACATGGAGCCGTCTTTGGGCGGTTTTGGGCCCTCTTCGATGCATGCTGGAGTCTATCTTGAACCATCTTGGCCTATCGTGTGCGATCTTGGAAGCCATCCTTGGCTCGGTGTGGCCATCTTGAGCCATCTTGGACGCTCGAAAGCCTCGCGAAAAGACCCCTCAAGAGCTGGGGGGAGGGCGCTCGGGGGAGAGGAGGCCCAAAAGGAAAATATGGAAATTGGAATAACTGACTCCCTAAACCGCCTACGCCCACAGGGATGGTAGGATTACAGCAGGCAGTAAATGGTTTGTGGGGGCATTGGTGGCTCAAGGCTCCTTGAAGCACCATCTGGCCAGAACGCCTCCCTTCCCAGAGGTCTCAGGAGTGTCCTGGAGGCAATTTCCGTGGGGACCTCGAGAGGTCCCCAAGGGGCCACACACGCGCTCAATAACCTGGATCCTCGATTTTCAGACTGAGGAGGGGGATGATCGAGGAGGGGGTAGAGGAAAACTATCAATTTCGCAGGGCTCTCCTTCCCCCGCTGCCGTTCTGGTCCGAGCTAACTTCTGAAGGACGCCGCCGCGATCACTGATCTGAGCCAAACCCTCCGAGACAATGCAGACCGTCGCGGTGTTCGTGGCCCTCCTGGGCCTGTCCGCGGTGAGCGTCTCGAACGCCTCCAAGTACAGCCCAGGCACGTGCCACTGCGACTGCTGTGCGCCGGTGGACGGGGGCGAGAAGGAGTGCACCGCTCCCGTGGGCTCGCTCCACAGCCAGACCAAGACCGACGTGTGCCTCGCGGTGTTCTGCACGGAGGGCGACACGCTGGGGGCACAGAAGCAGGCGTTCAGCAACTTCTGCAGCTCCAAGTGCTTCCCGGACACCGCGGTCCCGACCACCTGCCGCCCGAAGGACTGCACGGACCAAGGCGTGAACGTGCACTGCGAGTGAGCGCGCCAGCGCTTGTTCCCGGTCGGACTTACACAGGTGCGAGAAATGGACGCTTCTGCGGAAGGCCCGGTGACGCGGGTCCCACATGATTGCATTGGGTTGCAAGTCCTTAGAGGTGTCATTCATAACTGGCCCCGCCATGACATGGCCGCGGTCGAAAACAGTTTTTTTCCAGTCCAATCGGGCTTACTCAGTCATCCTATTTAATTTGGCTTAACTCTGGGATCTTGCTTTATGGCTCCTTCATCGGGCTTGATGGCCTTGACTCGTTCCAGCGAGTGCCTCCCATGAGTTGCCTCTTAAATTACAGTAGACGGTAGGTTTTAGTAGGGAAATTCATGGCTCGAGGCCTTTGGAGGCCGTGGAAACACCATTCGGCCAGAGGCCCCCCCCCCCCCCCAGAAGATCTCCAGAGTGCCCTAGAGGCGCTTTCCATGGTTGTCTTCACAGATCCCAGAAGGGCCTAAAGCGCTCGAAATCCTTGAACTCGGGTCTTCACATCGAAGAGGGGGATGATGATTGAGGAGGAGGAGGAGAACTAACCGCAGAGGTTCTTTACTGTTAATGCTCCCCCCTAAGCCCTCGGCTGGGAATATAACTCGTCCTCTCCCCCCTCGACCTCCCCCTCTTCCTCCTCCTCCTCCTCGTCCTCCTCCCCACTCCTAGCTCCTCGTCCCCCCTCCTTCCCCTGCTCGTCCTTCTCCTCCTTCTCACTCCTCGTCCTTCCCCCCCTCGGCCTCCCGTGTGTCTTCCAGCCTAAGTAGTAGCAGTAGTAGTTGTAGTAGTCGTCGTCGTCGTCGTCGTCGTAGTAGTAATAGTAGTAGTAGTAGTCGTAGTAGTAGTAGTAGTAGTAGTAGTAGTAGTAGTAGTAGCAGTAGTGGTAGTAGTAGTAGTAGTAGTAGTAGTAGTAGTAGTAGTAGTAGTAGTAGTAGTAGTAGTAGTGGTAGTAGTCGTAGTAGTCGTAGTAGTAGTCATAGTCGTAGTCGTAGTCGTCGTAGCAGTATGCGTAGTAGTAGTAGTAGTAGTAGTAGTAGTAGTAGTAGTAGTAATAATGATCATAGCCCTAGTAGTAGAAAGTAGTATTAGTAGTAGTAGTAGTAGTAGTAGTAGTAGTAGTAGCAATAGTAGTAGTAGTCGTAGTAGTCGTCGTCGTCGTACTAGTAGTAGCAGTAATGGTAGTAGTCGTGTTATATGTAAGTAGCAGGAATAAGAATAGTAGTAGGAATAGTAGTAGTAGTAGTAGTAGTAGTAGTAGTAGTAGTCGTAATCGTAGTCGTAGTCGTAGTCGTAGTAGTAGCAGTAGTAGTAGTAGTGGTGGTGGTGGTGGTG